CTTTGAGCAATGGCTGGTAGGCTTTGTACCCTAAAGAGTGTTATCGTGTTCAGAAAATGAGACCTGCTGACATGGTGAATGTGAGGGGTTGTGCCTGGAGCGCAGGGACCACTGAGCTCTTTCTAATGGCACTGCCACCACTGCTAGCTCCAGTCCCTGCTGAAAACCTCTGCTCTGGAAACACCCTTCTAGCTATAGAAGATTGTTTAAGGGTGGCCTTCTCTGTGCAGGAAATCTGCCCTAAGTCTTCAGATCTGTCATGTCCAGAAATGTCTCCTTTAAATCATGGCAGGCATTACTGCATCATGTGTTGTCTCTATGAGATGGTAGCTAGCCAAAAGGCACCAGAAGAGGAAAGTATAATATAGCATCTACCAAATATCATAGTTCTAGCTGCAATTGACCTGGCTTCCTCAGAGAAAGGGTAAACAGGGGTCTGGGCTCTGTAGGAGAAACACTCCCTGGTGAGTTGCAGGGTGCTCCACAGGCACTGAAGTGACTATCAGGGCTTGTAGTATGATCCCACAAATTAACAGAGAAAGAAGAGATTTATTTAACAGCTTTTGGGGGGGGTGTGGGGGTGTCAAAATTAGCACATTTATCCCTTTAGCTGGAGGAGAATCTACTCTGGCTGCAGGACATCTGTGGCAGACAAGTCTCTCAGAAAGCTAGTGCCAGCTACAATCAGGCATGGGTGTGATGAATATCACAAGGCTGTGCTTTCTTTTGTTCATTGTTTCCAACATTTTAATCAAGAATTTAATCCTATTCTTTGCCAGAAAACAAGAAAATGTATTTTCTTCTTTAAACTCTTGTATGATCTCAAGTAATCCTAGCAAATACAAAGTTTTCTTTAGAAATTGTGAAAGCAAATACAGCCATGCTGAAGACCAGACAGAAAGGGCTCTGCGGTCCTAGGGTTACGATGCGTCTCACTTCAGTCTGAAAATTGGACATCGACATTTGCTTTGCTGAGAGAATTCTTTCCTGATGAAAATTAAGCAGTGCTTTTCTAGTTAGGGATAGGGAGAAAGAAATGGCAGTGTTAAGAAACCCCATGTTAATACAACTGGCTCCTCCTCTGCAGATAGAATTGCCTACAAGCATGTGGATGGTTTCTGTCAGCCCCACCTGCCCATATACTTATGCTGCCTGGTGTCTTTGGGGCATCAGGTGCTGGGGCAGAGGCACTGCTGAGCATCATCAGTCCTGACAACTCCATCCCTCCATGCGCTGAGGAAAGACCCACCCGAGTGTCCTTATATGGCTACAGGGAGAATTCTGCCATCCTGCTTAGACTCGATGGATATCAGACATAGACATCGATATCTGCGGTATTTGAAAAGGAAATGAACTCTAATCTTGATTATTATTTTTTTAATCAGGTTCAAAGAATGTATCAGAAGTAATTTTCACAGCTGTTGCTGATTTGTTAGTACGTCTGTCCCCAAATCTCCCTGCTGTTTGCTTTATGGTTTACAATCTTATTTTCATTTGTTTAAAGAAATGTTTTTCTCTCCCCCGTCGTTACATGAGACATCCGCATGAACAACAGCACAACGAGGAAGCTGCCTATATCCACAGTCCTGCCAAGTGTGTAAAGCAAACAGGCGCAAACGGAGCAGGACTGTCTTCCCCAGCCCCTCCTGCAGCTCTGCTCCTCTTGCCCTAGCAATGACGTAGAAGATTTTGGTACCAAACCACAGCTGAGAACTGTTTCAAGTCATTAAGGACACCTATTCTTTGTTGTATGCCTGTTTCCCTCATTAGACCAGCTGATGCAACGGAAAATACGGGCAGTTTTCAAACTCTAAGTCCCTTCAATCAGTCTAAGCCCAAAAGTTTGTTCATTTTTCCAGCTATGTGATAGGTTGAAAGCAAGATAGGGCCTTCAGCTCTGGACCTTGCACCTCTCAGTCTTTGGACTGTACTACTTTTGGCATTGTATGGCATGATAGGCCTTATGATCAGTTGCATTTTCATAGGAATGCAGAACTGAGGGAGACAGAGCTTATTTTTGTTAAACTATTTGTCTGAGTCTATATTAGAACTAGGATTTTTTTGGAGGGGGTGGACCATGAAAAGGCACACCACAGCCGGTGCTGGCAGCAAGCAGGCAGAAGCCCCGCTTAGAGCGGAGTGGGGTTGGGTTCCTGCAGGTTGTCACCCAGCCTGAGCTAAAGCAGGCTGAAGCGCTCCGCAGGAAACTCGAAGTATTAAAAATTACAACCCCTCACTTGCCTTCCTGCCTTCGCAGTCAGGCCAGTCTGAGGGCTTTAATCAGAAAGCCTACATGGGAGGGAGGGCTGGAGGGCTGTTCGGGGGTTTTTTAATGATGATCATTAAGTAATTGGATAAAAGGTTGTAAATTCTACAGTATTGTAGGCACATGACAGGTAATGAACACTTCTCCACAGGTCTATATTGCAGTTAAATGAATAACGTTTGTCACTTGACATGTACCTCCACAATTGCAATTACAGTAAATATTTCCCAGTAAACTGGGAAACTAAGGCACAGGTCAACCGGCCTATTTGAAAGCACACACTTCTAACCAAGTCCTGCTGTGCACACCTCACTGCAATTGCAAGATGTAGCTCTCTAGTCGCAGAGATAAGAGCAGTGTGGGAGCTCTTAGTTATTTCTCCCAGATCTTGTTTTCCAGGCTTATTACTATTGTCCTGCTGCAAGTTTAATACACACACACTGTTCAAAAATCAAGACTATCAAACGAAAGTATGATCAAGCCTTGGTGAAGCACTCTGCAGATATGCATTTTGTAATAGTGCTAAGCTCAGAGAGCAAATAGCTCCGGTAACTGAGATGTTTGCCCTCAGTGTGCTCCAATAAACTGATTTACCTTTCTTCTTTTTTTTTTTCCTCTTTTTTTTTGAAAAAGAGCTGACGCAAGTTTGTCAAAGGGAGTTGTTGGGGTGTAGCAGCTGTTGATTGGTTCATCTGATACACTCCCATTTGTCTTTAAATCACTGTCCAACTGCTCTACATTGCACATGAGCAAACTTTTCATTACAGGTGCAATTCCTAAAAGGTATAACCTGCTTAGCAAGGGAGCAAGAGAACCTGCTTGACTCAGAGGTAAACTTAAAACTTTTCTTCTTTACAATGTTTGATCAATGTATTTTAGACACCAGCCACATCTTTAAAAACTGAGAATTATAAATGTAATTAAACTGAAAATATAAGTTCAGTGTGAAGGATGGGCTCCTTCAGATTTACTGACATGGTAATTTATGTTGGCAATATCTTTTGTATTTCTTCAGGAATGAAATTTAGTCTGGTTGTTTTTTGGGTTTTTTTTGTACAGCAAATCAAAACCTAAGCAATCAGAGAAGCAGCAAAAGGTGTTTAAAATTGACCAGGCAATTAAGAAATGAGTGCTTGCTTTCCTATGCAGCCCTTGGATAAATTCTGAGAATTTTTTTCAAAGCTCTTTATTTACTTGGCTAACATTTCCGTAAATAAATGAATTTGTGAAAGCAGGATTTGCATTTTAATTGTTTATTTCACAGTGACAACATTTATTTATTTTTGAAATAGCTGCGCAGACAATAATATTACAAAGTCACTGTCACGAAGATGAAGAATCTGGCAAAATCTGCTAAACCAGATACAATGGTGGAACTTACAAATTTTGATACTGCAAAACCCATAAAAATGTTAGTCGTATCTGTGACCTGGCATTGCTTGCCTGATAGTTGTCCCTTCTCTTGGTGTCCTAACTGCAGACTGGACAGAAGTCAATAACGTTGTGAAATCAGATGCCAAAAATTTCAGCATTTTCTGAACCATTGCTGAAAACCATTACTTAATAACTGATGCAGAACAGTACTCTATACTTGAAGAGAAAAATATTTTTTTAGGGATAAATAACTTCCCTCTAATAATAGATGAATCTCTTTTGCAATCAGTATTTCCATTTTAATGCCATACTTTAAGAAAAATCTTTTCTGTTCAGCCAAATGCCACAGGAGGCAGCAAAACCATCATCGTATTGAAGCCAAATTTAAGGAACATTGTAGAGCTAAGAGATTTTTCTTGTATGTAAACATGAGGAGAAAACATACTGACTTTAACTAAAGGGAAGAAAAAAGAAGTGAAGAGCTTTTTGGTTACTTCCAAACTTACAAAATTCCTCTTTTTTAAGGAAGCCGGGCAAGTCACGATGGGTTTGGATGCCTAAAACAGGGTTGAGGCCCGGAATTCAGAACTCTGAAGCAGAAAGCAATAAATCCCAGGGAAGATAAAGGAGATGAGCTTTGGTGTTTCTCCTTCGATATCATGTGCTAAGCTTCTGGCAGGGCCCAGGCCTGCCTGACCTTGGTGGCTGTGCTCTGTCACACCATCACTGCCCTTGGTACCTGGCCATCACCCGGGAGCAGCAGTCCAGCCAGCACAAACACCTGCAGGGGTACAACCGAGCAACCAGGCCATGGGCTTGGGCATGGTACAGTGTGCAGCTGTAGCCAGCATTTTATTTTAAACAGAGCCAGCTATTGCGTCCCCCTTTTTCTAAATAGTATCTCACAGTGACCCAAGAGATGCAGGGCTACCTGATTTCCTCCTCAGGTGAAGGGGTGGCATCTCTGCCCCTTGCATGTTACTCATAGCGAGCATGCGCTAGCAGTACCTCAACATCCTCCCAAACCCTTCAGTACCTGCAGCTTTAGGAACCTGAAGATATGGATTTCTGCCAACTAAGGACCACCTCTGCTAAGTTCTGCTGAAGTTCAAAGGCACTATTCATTGTAATTACAGTTATTAGTGTTTAAAGGATTCAAATCTAATACAAGCCTGTCTCTCAGGTGTCATCCTGCTCACGTTTATGCCAATGGCTTTCAGCTCATGGTTTGCAGATCCCTTGAGCTCTACCAACCACTCCCTAGAAAGTGATAACTGCAGGAAACCAGGTTCTCAACAGATTTCATTTTGCAATCTGGGGCTTTGCATCACCAGAAGATTTTTGGGAACTCACAGAACGAAAAAAAAAAATAAAAATCACAGCTTTAGGCAGTAATTCCACAGGCTCTTGAGATGATGCCAATAAATCAGATTACTTGTGTAAATGTTTGACAGGACAATGTCCAGATGATTCTTATGCTGTAACATGTAGTTCCACTCAATTTTTGCTCCCCTTTCCAAATTGTGTTTGCTGTGCCGCACAGACTTTCCTCCTCAGCCTAATCTCTGTGTAACTTAACTCCTGGCAACTTTTTTGCTTACTTTTCCTCTGTTTCCCAACTCTTCGAAGATCTGTATTTTTTGGACTGCCAATTCTGGAAAAGACATTTGTCTGACAAGCATTAGGCAGTGCGCATAGGGGAGATTTTACCCTTTACCAGAACAGGGCTAAGTGCAGTCGGATTTGCCTGCCTGGCTTTTGCACCACAGATTAAAAATAAGCATCAGGAATTGCAAGGACTTTGTTTCTCAGACAGGGCAGCGTCTGCATTTGAAGATGGTTCTGTGAATGAAACCACAGTTGGGAAGGCTCTGTTGGGTTTTTTTTTCTTTTTTTTTTTTTGTCTCCCGGAGTTATTCATATACCAAGCCGGCAGAACCCACCAGCCATTGGAATGCAAGTGCCGGCAGCTCTGCCCTGATGCCTGAGTCACTCGTCCCCTCATGCACACTCCCTGTGTGGCAGCAGAAAGGAGTAAACTCAGTCAGTCTCTCTGGTAGGAAACTTCCTAATGCACTGTGATACTGCTTTTCCTTTTCAGTTGTCTGGTCTGGGTGAGTGTTTTTAGTAAGAAGCAAGGAAGCTGACTTTAATTTCTGGCCCAGGGTCAGTTTTAGCCTCCAGGATTGGTATTTAAAGTTTACATTTACATTTTAAACACATGAACTCTAACATTTTGCCACTACAAACACGTTTGTAGACTTCCTTATGGACAGCATGTGATCAGTAGAAAAGAGGATAGTGAAGGTCTGGTCATCAGGCAAGGACCTGTACATCCATAAATGCAAAACTAGAAAAATGGCTATTAAATAGTTGCAAAGTTTAGTGTTATGAAGAGCCAGACATAGAAATCATTTGTTGCAGTGTTTTCTGATACTGTTATCATGCAGCACTGGGTTTCATTTAGCATGTGATATTTATGAAAAATGCAATGGATCCAGCCGGTGTGACTGATTGCAAGGTACCAGTAGAGTGCCAGGAGTCTGCAATTCTGGACCCAGGTGTGCCAGCAGTGTACTATATTGTCTGTGCTCACTCCCTTCACTGGTGTGCCCCTTTGCCTCCTCAGCTGTGAAACGGAAATATAAAATGCATCAACGAATATCTTTGGGAAGCGAAAAGCATTGTAAAACTGCAACATTTCTTGCACAGTGTTTTTCCCTTGAATCTGGGAATAAGCAAATGAATGTAAATGTGTATCTGCACATGAGACTGTAACATAAACTGCTGAAATCCCAGAGCTGAAGTCCTCTAAACTTTGGTTTCCAGTTTCCTTTCATCCATATAGAAACAGAGAGTTGAGAACTTATCGGAATTTTTCTAGTAAAGGTAAAGATAGTCTTATATCCATGTAATAATCCTGCATGAGACAGAGCTTCTAGTCATGGGACAAGTAAGAATTAAGCACAGGTATACTGAAAACCAGAAACTGCTATATCAGAATTGTACCTCCTAATTATCAAAGAAGAGATCATACAGAGATGCTCACCTCTGCCTGATCCCAGTGAAAGGCACAAATCTTCAAAACACTTAAATTTGTGACAACATTAATGATTCAAACTCTTAAGAGTATGTATATTTTGAAGCAGTGGTGGGAAACCCCTAATTTACACCCTTCATTTCTAACAGCAAGCACTTCTGCATCGCCATTGCCTAGAAATTCAAAAGCAGCAGTTCAAGAAATTATTTTCTGCTGGCTTTGTAATTTTGCCAGATGCTGGACATCTACTGTTCATCCGTTGGCCCCTACACTCTTTACCATTTGAAGGGAGACAGAGGGGCCAAGTGCTGGCATATAAAGGGACATTATGCTTGCCCAGAATTTTCCCAGCCTGCAACAGTTTCCCCTCTTAATGCTATTATAAAGAACAAACACAAACCCATCGATTCACACTGGTTTATCTAATTTGAGGAAAAGTCTAATGAGTTCTGTTGTGTTTTGTTTGCAGAACAGAGTGTTCTGGCAGTCCTTGCATGGTAGAGAAGACCCGCGAGTGGACGGCGCAGTGCTGTTTACCCTGAAGAAGCAAGTGTGTGTGCTGGAAACCGCTGACCTCTCAAATGGATCGCATGGAGCTGCAAAAAGTCAACATCGAACTTGATGATCAGAGCAACAGCGGGGAAAGCCTTGAAGACAACTACACGGAGCTGGTTGATTCAGAAAAGGCTGCAATTAGGAGGTAAGCATTTAAACGGGAAGGCTGTACTGTTAAGGCTAGAGAGCAGTAATCAAAAAACTACTTTCACTAATTGTATCTGGGACTCAAAGCATTTCCTAGGTAAAATATTGAAATTAGTGTGATTGTTTAGCTAGCTTTTTCCCACAGCACCGACCCTCTCTGGTCTGTGCCTGAAGGATGGTGGGCCCCCCTTGCTGGCCGCTGCCTGGAGTGACCTCTGTAGTCTCCCAGCTCCAAGCACCTGCTTGGCAATTTCCAACCACTCCAGTCAGATCACACACGTGTAAATTAATGCACTCTCAGGGCACTGCAACCTGAGCACACTGAGAGGGCAAAAGCTTTCCAAGGCAAGGTATGGAGGACAGCAGCTCAGTGCTCCCACGGAGACAGCCCACCCTCAGGTGTCTCCAGCAGGACCTGCCGTAGCACCAGGATGGCCTGAGAAAGACATCTCAAAACCAGCCATCAGCCTCCAGCTCTCAGCTTGCTGAACCACACCACCTCCTGGCATGTACCTCCAAAAGGGCAGTTGCAAGGCACTCTGTTCCTCAGATGTGAAGTGCGTGATCGGCTTTAGCACATTGCTGGCAATAAGGAATTGTTACTTTCCAACAGCTGCAATCAGATATAATTTGAAGATTACTGGGTTTAAAACTAAGTTCTGAGGCAAAGCAAAAATCTATTAAACATGTCATTGGACATGAGAATGTTACAGGGGAAGAGAGTTTTGTTTCTGAAGGATTTTTTATTATTCATTGCAATGTCAAAAGGAAGTTTCCACTAATGACAAAAGGCACTACTTGAACATAATATGTGTCATAAGCCTTATCTAATATTTTCTTATTTTTCGTCGCATTCAGTCCATTTGTTAGTGATGATGCAGAAAGTCAGAAGTTCCTTACAAATGGATATTTGGATAAAAAGAAATTGGAAGAATATAATGAAGAATATGTAAGTTTTATTCATTTTTAAGAGTAATTACGAAGTAAATCTTATTGACCTGAATATTTTTCCAAAAGTTTCAGTAAACAAAGTTACTCTGGGTCTTGATTAGCATAATCTTGGCTTTGGAAGAGTAAACACATATTCCAACAGTTAGTGCAGCAAACCCTTTCTCTTGTATTGCAAGTAAAACTTAAAACTGTGTATTTCCTTCACAAGTAATTAGAAAAATTCCTCAGATCATACTTGAACTTCAGTAGCACCCATGTCACCTCACCCAAGATGTTCAGCCAGGGCAGGTCTACACCCATTTTTCTGACAGGAAGTTTGGTTAAAGGCAACCCTGTTGCTCCTATATCAAGGTAGGGTTAGGTCTTAGTGCACATGTGCTTGTATTGTTTGTTTCCAGCATCAGCATAAATGAATCCGCACCCAGCCTCATTGCTTTAAAGAAAGGACATTCATGTTTGGCTTTACAGTGCCGAACATTACTCACTCAGCACGCCTCCAACTCTTTAGACAGCTCCATGTGCAAATGGAATCACAGCACCGGTTCCTGGGATGTGCATGTGGTCACCTCTCTGCTCAGGATTGAACTTTATTAAAATTTTTTGTGAACTTGGTGTAAAGTCAGGCATTACTTTGTTGGTCCTGTTACAGGGTTTATCAGGACTGATCAGCTAAAACCAAAAAATATTATTTGTAGTTGCAAGCTAAGATTAAGATCCATATTGCCCCCTTTCTTTTCCACTTGGTGGGAGATGTGACTCCTTCACACACCATCCTCCCTTTCCTAGATTTTTGTCCTCTTCTACTCTCCTGTCGCCAGCCCGAGTCACACAGTGCTTCCTTCTTTTCACCCTGAGACACACTTTTAGTTCCCCAAAGAAAGAATCATGTCGTACATGGAGAAAAATTCAATAATCAGTTGGATTAATATTTAAAAAATCGTTTTAATTTTTTAAATCAATAACTGGGAGATCTGTTAGATAACAGTATGTATTTCTATAGAAGCTGGCCAACACAGGCAGTTGTAGCTACGTCACCTCTATTGCCTGTTGGGGATGTAGCCCTCCTCCCCACCAAGACAAGGGGAGAGTGGGAAGAGGCAAACACCTACCAGCACAGCTGGCTTTGGATGTAAAAGAGACTCCTTGCGGTGGCAAGCACTTGTGGGCTCAGGAACCTTGACAAAGCTCTGCCCCTAAGGATCAGGGGAGCAATATAGGGAAAACCAGAAAAGAGGATAATTAGTCTGTTATGCTCAATAAAAAAGCAAATTAATTGCCATTTTCTGTTCTTACTCCCAACAGCACAGGGGCAGAGCTTCCTTTGGAATGTCCTCGTTCAACCTCAGCAATGCCATTATGGGCAGTGGCATCTTAGGGCTCTCCTATGCAATGGCCAACACAGGAATTATCATTTTCATGTAAGTACATAGAAATAAAAACAAATTAAAAAAAAAAATAGTGAGCTGGGGCTAAAGTTTTTGTGGTTAGAGAGGTACGTTAAGCTTGTTTTGTTAGCTGAAAAGTTTTGTAAGATCATCTGTAATGAAAACATTTTAGCTGCACCGCAAGGAACCATCCACTGCTGACAAATGATTTTTTTTTATTTTAGCCCTGTTTTGTATGAGGAACACAATTGTGAATTGATACTGTGCAGTCAAAAACCAGAGGGGAAGAACAGTATACCGGTTCTAAAATAACAACAGCAGTCTTGCTGATTCAGAATGGGAATTCAACAAGGGAAATAAATCACCCATAAAGTACATATTTACATCAACCCAACTACCTAATCACTATGTAGAAATGAAAGAAACTTATTCTATATGTCTGAAATAGCAGAGTGCTTTGAATTCAAAGGCTTTCACAGATCTATTCAGATTTAATGTTGCTCACTCAAGTCTATTTGTACTCAACGTGCACAGATGAGAGCAATGGTATGTGGCTGACATACAGTATCTATACAAAATGGGTTTTGATAGACAGGAACAGATAGCCATGTGAAGTTTTTAATCTTGGCTAACCTTGTAAAATGAGACAGACTGTACCAAAAAAAAAAGTTGGTTTTCTGTTTTTAGTAACTAGTTTTAATTTTAGCTGAAGCCTTAATTTTAATCCACCGTGAGGCTGTAATAAAGCATGACAGTACTGTATGATAACAGGCCATTGTTTTACATTACTGATATCTAACAAGCCTTTAAATCAGGTTGCATGGCTATCTTTATAAAGCTTCTTTCTTCTGGAGATCATGTAACTATGACAGCAACAGTATTTGAAATGCTACATGCAGCTTCCTGTTGCTAAGAAACACCTCCTATTTTAACAGGAGAATTTTAGCTGAAAATTAATTGTAGGTGCAACACTGTCCTGAATAAGTACTTCCCTCCCAGCACCTGCACTCAAATGGTTTAGATATAGTATTTGCAGATACAAAAATGGAAGCCAGTTCAAAATTGACTGCATTAGAGTCCGAAAACTGTAGAGGTTTTTTTTTGTTGTTCCAAGCCTCACTGGGGAGGGGGGGGTGGGAAATTATGTTTGTAATGTCTCTATTTTAAGGCTCTGTTCATTCCCACAAGTGGCTAAAAAAAATCTGATATGAGGCTAATGGCATTAGCTCTGTTGGCAGTGCTAAAGCAATCCTATGGAGTCTTAAACAGCAAAAACAAAGGACATTCTCCACCACGGCTCATTTTCTTTCGTGTCCTACTTCCATACTTTCTGCATGAGAACATTCTCCCTTCTGGTAGAGGAAAGAATTTTATTTAAAAGTAAAAAACTGTGTGGGGATATTGTTACCCCCACGGCATGCATCCACTTGCTAGAGGTTCCTCTGCTTTCACAAATCATGAGTAGTAGTAGCAGAACAGGAAAATCCCATCTACTAAATGGGAACTGCTGAAAATTAATTCTAATTTAGATAATGCTGGCAGCATTGTCTAAATTTTTGTAATTTACTGTTCTCATGTTGCCCAAGTGATCTCATGCTGGAAGACGTTCTACAGGGTGAAGGCAAAAGGAGGGCTCCTAAAACTCAGAAGCTCTCAAGAAGTTCCCATTGCTTCCTACTCTACCATGGTGGAGGTTTGCAATGACACAGAGCATGTGCTGCAGCATCACTTCTGCTGCCTGGCATGCTTCAGCAAGTGCAAACAGGATGGCTTCGGTTTATCACACTTCATGTGTCGAGACAGGGAGATCATGTCTCTGAAGAGCAGCTACATAGATGCCACTGATCAAGAGGGATGCCATCTTGGCAGGGTACACTGCGACCTCAGACATGATCCCCCCTTACCACATTGCATGAGCCCTCAGCATGAGAGACGACCCTGCTCACATGAAGTTTGTAGTGTCATCTGTCTCTCTTGGAGAAAGAAACTTCAAATGAAATTGTGATGGTCTAGTGGCCGTCATCTGTCTCCTCTTAGACTGTAACTCATTTACAAACTCAGCTGTCAGTGTCTCCTGTATGTATACCAAACAACATGTTCAGTGGAGTGGAAGGTGTGGGCACAACCTCCTGTTCAGGTAAGGCACATTTGTGTTTCCTAGCTCTGCCGTGCTATCATCATGTCCCCTTCTGCACTCAACCATTGTGCAGGCTGATGACAAGACAATTATGGTAATAAGATATGCTGCCCATGGTGCTGTGCCCTGAAAATGCCATACAAAGCTAATTTTTTCACCAGCAGTTCACAAGAGGCAGATAGCTGAAATCACATAAGATGCAAATGTTGCATGGAAGCAACAGGGCAGTAATCAGAACCAATGAATTCAGGCACCAGTACCTTCAAGCAGACTAGGCTAGAAGAGTATGCTGCAAATGCTCCAAAGGCAGGTTTTCCAGTGTCATGCCACTCTTTAGCATTATGCAAGATTTCTAACGTACTTTGCAAAGCGGGCATCTCAAGCTAAATGCCACAACTTCACGATGACATTGCAGAAGTCAGGGGTGTTGGACTAGATGACCTTTCAAGGTCCCTTCCAACCCCTAACATTCTGTGATTCTGTGACCAGCCAGGAGCTGGCAGTGAAGTTGTCACAATCATGGTTTGGGGTTGGATTTTTTTTTTATAGCTCTGAGTAAGGAGTGAAATTGAAACGAGAGGTCAGTGAGCAGGTAAGAAACCAAAGACCTGACTCTTGCATAGAAATCTGTTTAAGATGTAAGATTCTCTCCTTGTGGAATAACAGAGAATTGTCACTTACCTGGACTTAAACAAGCCTTGAGGGGCTTTTGAAAAGTATAAGGTGCAACTGCACTCACAAGTAAGCTACAGTTGACACGTATCTCTGCATTCAGCACTGGGAGTCCAAAGCATAAACTTGCTGAAAACTGTTTACACACTGATCTTGATGAGGATGAGCAAGAGCACATTCAAATCAACAGAGTGTCTCTGATGTCCTGTTTGGAATTCTGATTTCTGCTTTGCCTTGCAGAGTTTTGCTGCTCAGCGTAGCAATACTGTCGCTCTACTCAGTCCACCTCTTGCTGAAGATATCAAAAGAAGGAGGTACGAGGATCAGGCTGTGACAACTAAGAGTCTCTACTGCATGCATGTATTTTACCTTGAAATCAATTCATCAAGTGTGTCCAATGCAGTGGTCCATGTTTCTGTTTTGTTTTGGGTTTTTTTTCAGGATCACTAATATATGAAAAATTGGGAGAAAAGGCATTTGGCTGGCCTGGGAAGTGTGGTGTTTTCATTTCAGTTACAATGCAGAACATTGGAGGTAAGGGGCAAAATTTTTCTTCTGATATTTTTCTACAGAACACAATTGCTGTCTCTCCTTTATCTGGCTAACTTGCATCACAGATGAGCCAGGTACAGTATACCTTGTATTGTAAAAAGGAAGGACAGAAGGAATTCATCTTGCCTTGTTTCAGCTATCTGACACGTCAGTGTCTGGTGAAAGTTAGTTGTGTGGGATTTCTCCACGACCAGTGAAGAGCCTTCAATGGTGGCTAAAATAGCTGGGTTGACTATCCTTAAGGAGTTGGATATTTCTCTTCATTGAGTACAGCTCAAACTAAACATCATCTGCTTCAACTTAGGAAAGATTAATCTGACCTAAAAGAGCACATGGTTCTGACTTTTCCATAAAAGAAAGGTTCTTCAGTAGTTCATTTTCCAGCTGAATTCTTTCCTTGAAATGACACCTGGGTTGTGATCTTTCTAAGATGTTGAGCATTTAAGAGTGATTGTTGAAAGTATTCATCTACAAAAACACTTACTGTGAAATATCTAGCAAGTAACCCCCATCCTCTCAGAACAGGAGACTGTTTACTTACCAATGTTAAGTAGTAGGGGTAGGACTACACATTCATTCAACAAAAGTTATTTCCTTTTACTACCCTGGAGGAAGACTTTTAGGAGACTGGGGAACACCATATCTGAAAGGTCAGGGGACTCTGTAATTTTTTCCAGATTTCTTAAGAAGACACAGTTGAAGTATAAACTAAATGCATCACTGGTCAATTAAATGTATGTAGATTTTTTGGTGATCTCTCTCTTGGAACTTGGTATGTTTTGCAAATCTGCTTGACAGATTATTACTGTCCTTTTAGAGGAACTTTACTATCCAGACAGAGATTGTTCACATCTCTACTACAAGACACTTTTCGATTTTGTTCAAAAAAGTTCCTATTCCATGGTCTTCCTTTCCTTCCTCAAGCCTGGATATCAAATATGGTTGAACTCAGGAAGGAAGTATGCTCCCCTGTTAGAGAGGAATAGCTGCTCCTCTAGTCCTCTTGTCTAGACTGATCCATAGGTCTCCAAAGACCTCTCTGTGACCAACATAAAATACCTAAAAAAAGCATGCCTTCTGGCAGTACATTAAATGAGATGTATAGAAGTTCACCCTTCCATCAGGAATCTTGACAACTGGTTGGGTTTTTTTATATATATGTAGTAGAGTACTGGAAGAAAGAAGCTGAAAATAGAAGGGATAAGATAGATGAAGAGATTTAGAGGTAGTAACAACTAAAGTTGTTATAGAATATGGATGGACAGTGTCCATTGAAAACACTTTTACAACAGAAAAGCAAAAGGAAAAGTTAAGAGTAAATTTCATCAGAACAGTGATTTGAACATGTTGTTAATTCAGTAATAAATGTATTATATTCTACTACTGAATGCCAGATGTCATCCAGGACTTGATCATAACAACATCAAGGGAAAATACCGTCTATTTAGTCACACTGTTACTTGAACTAAACTCATTTCTCTGTTTTAGCAAAAACATGTTTCCCAAAACAACATGTTTTTCATGCAGCATTAATGTGTTTTAAAATAAATTATTTTTGTTGGAATTACACCGTTTTCTCTGAAGGTGTTTGTTTGTTTGTTTCAGCAATGTCAAGCTACCTCTTTATTATAAAATATGAACTTCCTGAAGTGATCAGAGCATTTATGAAACTTGAGGAGAGTTCTGGGTAGGTACCTTTGCCCATCCTTAACTTCAGATGAAAATTTTCAATTTTGATGTCAATGATACTGATTATTATTTTTTTATTCTTCCTCTTTAGAGAATGGTACCTAAATGGGAATTACCTTGTCATACTTGTAACTGTTGGGGTTATTCTTCCCCTCTCCCTTCTAAAGAGCTTAGGTAAGCTTAGTGCCCCACTTAGCCTCATCTCTTATTTCTATCAATCAGGATTGTGAATTTATATGTAGCTGAACTGTTGGTTTGTTTTTTCTTGCTGCACAGGTTATCTTGGTTATACGAGTGGTTTTTCGCTGACCTGTATGGTTTTCTTTGTCAGTGTGGTAGGTGACTGTTTGGGTATTGTCTCTAAGCAAATACAGAGCCTGTAACTGTGCAATGCTGTTATATTTCTTACCATGACAATTTAATGTGAATGTTAGAATAGCACCTGCAAGTGAATCAAACCAATAAGCTTATTGCTGAACAAAGCCAGAATAAAAAAGATCAGCCTAAAAAGCGACACCTGAGAACAAAAAATAAAGCAGGACAACAGCAGAGACTGAGTTACAACAAATACTTGCAGGAGAAGCAGAAGTGCTAGCATTAGGTTTCTTGCTCCCTCCCTTTCCCTTCTCTTCTCTGTGCCTTTTTATATTTCTGCAAGTGTAATCTCCTATGGTGGTACTCTTCTGATGACATTGTCCACTCTTTTGTAGGTAATCTTCAAGAAATCCCAAATAGCCTGTCCTCTCCCCATCATGGACCACGGGGTTGAAAACTGGACCACCATCAACAACACAGTGCCAATGCACCTGGTCACGTTACCGAATGAGTCTCTCAGCTTTGGTGTGAATTTCATGATGGACAACACAGCTGGGCACTTGCCAGGTCTTGAGGAGCCAAAAGATACCTCCCCCAAAAGTGGTGTAGAATATGAAGCACACAGCGACAGTAGTGACTTGTGTCAGCCAAAATACTTTGTGTTCAACTCACGGGTAAGGCAGATTCTGTAGAATTTGTCTTTAGCCATTCATATCACAGCTAAATTGCTGCCTGCCAAAAGTCAGAGGTACAGCAGTGACCATTCTTACTAATGGGAGCTTTATTTTACAGACTGCCTATGCAATACCCATCCTGGCATTTGCATTCGTATGCCACCCTGAGGTGCTACCAATATACAGTGAACTGAAAGAGTAAGGTTCTTAAATTTTGTCCCATACTTCCAGTTAACCATAGCTACAGATCACTTTCTACATGTTCTGCCTTGATTGCTGGTGTGTAGACACCCACCTGCTAATGATTTATTGCTTTCCATAGTGAGAAGATAATGGCTTTGCTTTGACCTAATAAATATTGGTGACAGAGAACCACTGTTCAGATAGCCACAGTGATTGATATTTACTTAGGAAAAGAGGAATCTGGACAGTCCTTTGAATGATGTGAAATATACTGGGGAACTGCGTTGTACTGAAAGATAATTCTGGTTTCTAATAGTGTCTTAACGAGTTCTGTGTCTGGGTCAGCTGCTCTTACTCTTAAGGTTTCTTGGAATGCCGTTGGTTTGGGTGTCTTACACAGGTTCTTCACCCAGCCTATTTTACTCACAAAATATCGAAAATCAAATACACTTGCTTAAATCAGCACAGAATTGACAGTTGGGAAGGGCTAAGAAAATGTATTTGTTGAACAGCAATAATTACATTACAGGAGGTTGTGCTGCAAAACTCAAGGAGGCCAAGACCCATTACCTCCTATTTCAGCAGGTTTAACCTCAGAAGAAAAAAAATTCTCAGATGACTTGGGACCATGCTTCCAGGTCCTATAAGCTGAAGATTTTCTTACCAAAGGATTTCTAAAGAAAGGATTTGACCTGCAGGAAGTTCTTGAACCTGCAGAACCTATGTAGATATAAGGGTATGTTCATACAGAGCTGGCTGAAAGCTCTTGTCTATTATTACCAGGCCTGTAATTTTAGCCACACCATTTTTATTTAAAATACACCATCGGAGATTGATAGTATGTAAATGATGATATACAAAATAACGTGGCATATTTCTCTGTTGTCACTAAGTAAGCAGTAGAAATGGAGTTTCAACACACTTTTATAAGTCTGTATTGTTCTGCACAGAGCTGCAAAGCTTCAAGAGCTCTGTATAACCAACATAGTTGCTATGAACTTACTAGCCAGTGAGGAGATACCAGTAGAGATATGACTCTTCAGGATACTTGTTGTACAAATAGAGGCTTTATAAGACTGACACTGTTACTCTCTTTCTCTCTTACTTCAGTCGCTCCCGAAAGCGGATGCAGAATGTCTCAAATATCTCCATCACCGGCATGCTTATCATGTATCTTCTGGCTGCCCTCTTTGGTTACCTTACGTTCTACGGTAGGTCAAAGACCTGTTCTCCGCAGAATTTTCCCTCTCATTTTAAAGCAGGCAAGACAGTTTTATCACACTAAGCCTCAAGTATTCATGTATTTTCTGTGGGCCTGAATATAGGTGTAAACTTTATTCAAACATAACACACAGTGTGTAACCTCCTGAATAAGCAGTGGGACTTATCCAGCTGTCAGGCCACAAGTTCCTCAGCCTTGAGAGGCTCAAAGGCATCTACTAGGGGGACCAGTTGCATATCTCTTGGTTTTTTGAACTCAGACAACAACCTGCTGTAAACTTGGCTCTTGGCAAAGGACAAGAGTGATCACACTAAAAATACTCAACAGTGCTCAACAGTTTTACGTGACACTATTAAGTGCTACCCACCCTAGCTCTGACGCCACTAATTCAGCTTCACCTATGCTGAAAAACAGGTGCAAATCATTCTAGTGTAAAAAAAATATGGATGAGGTAGACTAACTGGTAAGTAAACAGAGTAGCCCCTGTATTAGCACACAATTTTATGCAAACGCCACCTCTTTTTACCTTGTTAGCTCCTCTGTTACAGCAGAGAAGTGAATGACACAGCATAATCTGCTTTCTGCCACTAGGGCAAGAGGGTTCTGTCTGAGAGCTGGGACACCTGGGTGGATGTCAAAGGGAGATGTTCCCAGTTCAGTGAGTTGTTTCCTATTTCATATCAGAGAAATTACTTTTACCTAAGGTTCCACATCCACTTAATAACTTTGAGAACGTCATTTGAGATACTGGAGTACAAAGCATCACCTCAGAGCTGTGTTACCCTCACCGTCTCTGAACGATGGACTCATATCGGTCATGGTGGAGAAATTCCTCTTTCATGCCTAGCCCATAACATGTATCAGATGACAGCAGCTGGGCCAAAGCTAATCCTATCTGGCTGCAGTGTGAAGATCCTTTTGCATGTGAAGATACTGCTTAAGTGGTTTAACTCCTTTCTGTTTCCTTTTTGTAGGAGAGGTTGAAGATGAACTACTTCATACGTACACCAGAGTGTACACCTTTGACACCCTCTTGCTGACAGTTCGCCTGGCAGTGCTCATGGCTGTAACCCTGACCGTGCCCCTTGTCCTTTTCCCCGTAAGTAACACAGCTGCTGAAGCTGAAATCAGGGCTAGCCTGTATACACTGACTGTAGTTACTCAGCACAGACAGACTTTAACATTGACAAAAAGTAAGTCTGAGTTTTTATTTGGGAGGGACTGTTTTCTCATATACAGTTTGACCAGAGCAAGGAGCTTAGGTAGTTAGGGTTGCAAATTTTGAAAGACTGAAATAAATCAGTCTTTTTAAATAAATCAGAGATAAATCAGGAACAACTGTCCTGCCTCCCTCTGGCTATCTCTGTACTATATTTGTCAGAGCAGCAGTGTAAGTGAGTACCAAAGTCTTGGGGATAAACTGAAACCTCTTACAAGATTTTCCAGTACAGACACAGGCACCAACTATACTATCCAGACTCAAGACAGACACATGCAGGACTGCCAGACCTGGCTGCCAAGGTAGAGAGGCAGAGGTCCTGTGCCCATCTTACATGCTTGAATCCATGGAAAAGGGAGGAAATGAAGTGTCAGAAAACAGAGGCGGTGAAGACTCAGCCACAGTCAGATATCTGAGCAAAGTTTGGAACTTCTAGGTGCTGTTCACAGGGAAAAACGCAATATCCACAGTAGCAGTGACAGAAAGACACAGCTAAACACACCACTTTGCAGAGAGACTGACCCTCCTCAGGGATCAATCCCCACCTGAAGAGCAGACCTCCAGGCTCCTGAACGTACAAGACTGTCCTTCGTGCCTTCCCTGAGCTGCTGCACGGCAGGGGAGAAAATATTGATCCTGGTCATTAAGTTTTGGGAGGATGGTGTGCCATTTGTATGGCACGTACAAGCCCAGCATCATGCTGCCGGTGGACTCCCAGCAATTTGCATCACACCGTAACATTTCCATCTGATGAGAGCAGTAACCCTGGGGTCCTGTTGCTCCATTGTGCTGGATACAAACATGAGCTCTGCTTAGGTGCTGTTTCCAGGCTTGCTGAAAAATACCTAAAAGCAGTGATCATCATTCAAGGATGTCAATAACAACAAAAAAAAGTTCTGGTATAAAGCACTCAAAGTGATCAGTCCATCCAGCTTACAGCACTCTGGTGCTCTGCCTGAAATAATGTATTTAAACCGGTGACTAAATGCTTAAATTAATCTTAACTACCTGATCACTTTTCATGCAAAAACAAGCTAAGGAGATTGCAAAAGCCTCTATCTGTCAGATGTATCATTTTGCTTTTTTCAGCCTTCTATATAATCATTTTTATACCTGAATAGTGTGCAAAGGTTTAGCAGTTACAGATCACAGCATTAATTGCTCTATTAAAAGAACTGCCGAGAAAATATCATGTGCTTGTAAGGCAGAATATCAAACAATTTTACATGGCCCATCAGGACAGCCAGCTCAGCAGATCTAACTACTCCAAATAAGCAGTATAGTTGTATGAACTACTTTTTTATGAACTACTACATCTGCATTTTCTTAAAGTAGTTAGAGTTTATTCTTTTAAAAAAAAAAAAAATCATTGCGTTGCTAAAAAAAAAAAAATAAATGTAGATTTACGTACCATTAGTCACTGTAAAACTTCAGTTTGATAGTTTCATTTTGAGGACTATGTCACAGCTGAGATAATGCACAAGATGGTGACAATAATTGACCAGGAATGCAGGCAGCAGTTCTTTGGTGGAAAAAAGCTGTTTTACACCAACCAAAGGGTCGGTCAAAATCTTTGCAATCTGTCTTTCTCTTCCTAATATTGGCTCACAGCAACCTGAAAAACATTAATGCAAAATTCCAGCAGTGTTTTCAAATGATGGGTTTCAAGTCTGACAGAACTCCATACATTTCTTGAATTGCCAAACTCACCCAGAAATAATTGTCTCTTATTTTAAAAGAACCAAACAGAAGTGGGGTGTGAGTTTTTTTCAGAGTAAAAACATTTTTGTTCAACTTCTAAATTTCAAATCTTTTAAGTTAATCACGGTACTACAGAGTAACACTATCTCCAGCCACTAAAGGGATTTATTCTCAACCTTTTTCCTGCTTACTATCTTTGCTGATGAAAAAGCAAAAAAAAAGTCTCTCTGTGGTGTGTGAGAAAGTCAGCAGAGCAAAAAGGATTCTCTGTAATAGCTTTTAGGATTATAACTTCCAAGTGGCATTACAAAATATGATTTTATTTTGAAAGACATATATGTATGTGTATACATATATTTAACGAAAGTAAAACAACAGCTTGCTCTTTCTGTCATAAAAGTAAATGACAGAACTCCTGTGGGACTTTCAGAGAGATCAGATTCAGGAATACAGCAATTCGTATTTCACCTGTGCATTTTTTGCCTGCTGATTAGTATTCGCAGTGGGGGTTTCTTTGGGGGTTTTTTTTGCTGATTTTAGCATCTTTCAGTTGAACAGATTTAATGTCCCTGATTTTACACCCTATTTACTTGACTTTCTTCTGCACTGCAAATATTTGAGTTTCTGCATTAAACTGTGAACAGTTCTCAAAAACCTACATCAGAGTGAGATTACATTAAGGGAATCAAAGACTGAAAACAGATTTCTTGAGTCAGAATTTCTCACAGCAAAAATAACTAGCATAGATCATTTTAAAAAGTGAAAAGCAAAGATAAATGAATTGCTGTTTTACTTTCCCTGCTGGTTTTCATCTTACAGATCCGTTCATCTATCAGTGCATTGCTGTTTCCCAAAAGGCCATTCAGCTGGATAAGACATTTCCTGATTGCAGCAGTAATTCTTGCTTTTAATAACCTGCTTGTAATTTTCGTCCCAACTATTAAAGACATCTTTGGATTTATTGGTAGGTTTTAGAAATACTTTTTGTTTACTCTGTTAATCCTTTCCACAACATATTTACATTCATGGATGCAATGACACTCTCAGTTCATGTCTTACGGTAGAGTAATATAAACACAGATAAAAGTTAAAAGGGAAATAAAAATTCCCAAATAGCTGACAGGCAAAGCTAAATACTACCCAACTTTGTTGTTACCTTGATGGGGCACAAAGAATACAATAATCCAAATATAAAAACTGGTAAGGAATTCCCATTTTGACAAAAAGGGCATCTAGTGCCCGTGGAGGAGAGGGAAATCAGCTTTGGTTTTCAAGTGTCTATAGCCTGGACAAAATGTATTGACTTCCAAACTGTGATGTTAGAAAAAGGAGAAAAGTGACGCATTTCTTTCGACATTCAGAGTTGTATCCTTACCTCTTTCTTTTGGTCAGTTTTGGCCTCTGACCAAAGAGGTTCATGAAGAGCCTCCATGCTCTGAGCTGCTTGAAGACTCAGGGATGCAGATGCCCTTGAGAGAGACACCTCCATGGGATTTCTGCCTTTTTCATGTTTTATACTCCATGTGGGCAGCCAGTTTGCTCCTCCCTGCCTTTTACACCAGGACCACTGTTCTGGGCTCTGCTGAGAGGAGAGAAGTCACTTCCAGGGCACAGGTCACTCACCCTCTTTTCGACACCTGTTTTCCAGGGTCATCATGCCCTGGGAGTGCCTGTTTGTCCTCACTTCACCAGCTCACATGCAGATGTCGGTATCACAGGCAGCCACACTGGAACAAATCCTCTAGTTAACGAGTGGCTCTTTGGGCCCCAGGCACTCAAGCAAGTGTTTGGACACCTACAGCTCTGCATGAATGCTGTCTACAGAGAATGACCTTTGTGC